CTAGGTTGTTCCATCATTTCAATGGCAAATTTAGCTTCCAGGAATAATTAAATTCCTGTATTAATACCATTTGATTTAATTAAACCAATGATTTGCCCCAATTAAACATTCCATTGTGATCAAATAAATTCCTTTCCCAAGTACTGGAATTTTAATGGAGCCAGTTTCATCTTCACTCGCACGCAGCAAAAGCCCTCTGAATTCCCTCTCACAGCAGCCGGCAAAGCACGAGCTCCTCGACGTGCCAGTGATACGTTGACTGACATTATTAATTTTGCTGCGTGAATGACTGGTACATAATGGTCCTGGGGCCGCCTTAGGTTGGTCCAGGCCGCCATGTGGCCTCCGAGAGGCGAAACGAAAAGTGGATCACGTCAGTCCGAAAATGAGATGCGACTTTTGTACTTATTTGAATACATTAAATTAATATGCCGTCAAGTAATGACTCAATTTGTCCGGTGTATAAAATGCTAATTATACGCTTCCTGAACGAGACGGCGGCGGGTAAAATAATATGTTTACGTAGCTCAAGCCCACCCTTTCACTGACGAGCCGGCCGGCTTTGAATATTATTCTGAAAGACCCTCGGGCTGTATCCAATTTCTCTTGGAGGAAGAGCCGGCGCGACGAGACTAAAGTAATCAATTTTTGTTCCGACGTGAGCCACCCACATAACAAACAATAGATGGGGATTCCCAATTAGAATATTTTCATATTTTGGGACGATAATAGTCTGGCTGAGTAAGCATAAGAGAAACTTTTGAAATGTTTTATAATGAGTTCCGCGTCACATCGAGTTTGTACTTCCTTTAATAAAAAAAATCAACTAGCTGGCTGTGGATCCAAAATATTCTTAGAGAAGTGAAGAAAAATAGAAGTAATCAGTTAAAAAAATTATCTTATTTGAAAAAATGGAAGCTTGAATTGAATTTCATGATTTTCATGTGAATCTTGAGTTTCAAGGATAATAACAAATTATTATTAATGGTCAATATTTTATTTATATTCTAATGTAATTCAATTTCTGGTTTTCTTTTATTTTCACCTAAGTTCATGAATTTTGAAAGAGTGCTAATAAGAACTAATAAATTTCAAAAACATTGCTTTTTCATTTAAAATTTGCAGGATAATGCAAAATTAAAGTACAAAGTTTTTACAAAATTTACCGATTTCACCTCTAGATTCCTCTATTTCGCAATTTATCAGTTTATCATGTATAGCCAGGCACCCTTTTATCCTTATTTCATGTGACAAAATCAATAAATTAAATTCATTTATTCCAATCGTTCTGGACATCTTTGATTGGCATGATTCGCAATTCAAAGAGATCTAAATTTGAATTTTTTTTCTTGCCTCAGAGCTTTGAATATGGCGTGAATTGATCGTGACAAAAAAGCAACGTTGTACAAATCGCCGAGGAATATTGATTTCACGCCAATCACGCGTAATTTCACTGGCTGGACAAGAGCGCGACGGGGACCAGTCGCTCAGGTGCGCCCAAAACGTGAAATCAATAGTCGTTCCAGCACTCCAGCCTAGGCGCATGAAAAATGCAATTAGGAATGAGAAACTCTTCCTGGAATGCAGGTTGCTGTGTTAAATCGAAAATTTCGAGGAAAATTCATAATATTTTAATCCTCACAATGGAACCAAACTGTACGCTTTTTTGTAAAAAAAAAAAATGTTATGCATGAATTAAATTAATTTTTTTGTCCCGTTCAAAAATTGTACACAAAAGGCGAATGTTCATTTCAAATTTCAAAAAGCATAACACGGACGGATGAAAAAGCGACTGCCTTAATGAAAGCGGCGAGTGGTTTATGAAAAATGTGTGCTCGCAAACAAACGTCAAAAGCACGTAGGGGAGACTGAAAAAAAAATTGTATTACTTTCGTCACTCCAGCAAAAAGCTGCTCTGAGAGAGTCTGACTTGGAGGAAATGAAAATCGATGGCAGTCTCTCTTTCTTTCTCCCTCTTTTTATTCGGAGATTTCTTTGAGTTCAGGCACGGTTGTTATCAATTCGCGGCAAATCTCTTCACTAGCCGGCGGAAACGCGCAGCCTTTCGTTCGCTGATAAAAACGCTCTGAAAGCTCGGTATGCAAACACCACGTGGAAATCAACCTCAGCTGTTTGGGGGTGAGAAAAAATTAATCCCGCGGCGCCAGGCCATCCAATTATCAGAGGCCTGGCCTGGCATTGGCAGCAAATATTTGCTCTGGCACGCCGAGAATGATTGATTCGTTGTGTGCAGCGTGTTTTGGCTTTTTATACATTAGCGCCGGGGTCGCTGATGAACATGTGTGTGCCGAACCGACGTTGATCGGGGTCTTGTTTAAGCCTCCATACCACTTTTGCTACATACATCATGTGTGCAAATTCGCTGTTGCTGCGGAAAGATCAAATTTCATTTCATGCGTACGCGATTAGGAATCACAAGGGCATAAAATTTTTGTATTGATTTTTCCCAACCTGCTTTTATTACACGATAATTTTTAATTTTGAAATTGTTCGGTAAACATTGGCAGATGTTCAACATGTTTGAAGTTAAAATTAATTAACATATTTTGATGGCACTGAAGATGAAGTCAACAGTTTCTAATTGAAACTAATTTGATTTGGCTTGGCATGTGCTTTGCTAAAAAAATTTCATTTTTTCAAAAAATTTTCTCACCTATGAAAGGATCAAAAGAAAAACTCTTCACATCGCACCCCTCTCAGCACCGTTTAAAATTCACAGGTAATAAATCAAGCAACCCCTGTTATTTTTGCTCTTAAAAGGCTCCTTAATGATATAAATAATTCGGTGGTTAGGCCGTCTTTAGAGACGCGGGATAAATCCAACGTATAGCAAAATGCAGAGGCCTAGCAAGAAGAAACGCACCCTATATATTTCGTCAAAGGCAGCAGGCGGCAGACATAATCGGGGAATAGGAAATTAACACGGCCACTTCAGGGAGCAAATAACAAAATAAAACATCTGCGCCTCTTGATCAATTCCTATTTACTTCCTGGTGCGATTGTACAAGTAAAATTTTGATGTTACATAAAGTTGTTGGAAAATTTTTATTTTAACTATGCAAAAAAAGTTTAACAAACTTATTTATTTACAATAATTGTTCTTAAAACAAAATAATTCACTTTTTATTTAATTTTATTATTATAAAATATTTTAATAAATAACTTATTTTTTATTTTAGACTTCCATCTTTTATTATTTTTTTAATATATCCAATATATATTTACTGAATTTATAAATTGTTGGATGTTTCTTGACAAAGAAGAAATCGTTAATAAAGAAGTTATAATTTTCATTGTTTTCAAGTTTGGTATTGAACGTATCGATTTTAAAAATTCTTAATTCCTGCAACAAACTTGCAAACAAAAAAGTGACACAAATAACAACGATTTCTGTGAACAATTCTGTCAGTATAATTTAAAGAATTAAGAATTCTTAAAATAAAAAAAAAATAAAATTTATTTTAATTATGAAAAAAATAACAGTTTAAATTGGTTTATATTCAACAATTTTTCTCAGAACAAAAAATCACAATTTACTTTTTTACCTTTTTTAACAATTATAAAATGTTTTAAATAATTTAAATTTTTAGACTTCCTTTTTTCCTTAATTCCTTTTAAATTATTTAATAATTTTACTAAATTTTAAAATTGAAAATATTTAATCATTTTAGTCCGTTTTAATTTATTCAAATGATTGTTTTTGTCCAACAATCATTTCGTGTCTTACTTGCTCAAGTTGAGAGTGAAAACTATAATTTGCAAAAATTGATTTATAAATTTAAAAATTCCAAAAGTGACAAATTTAATCCATATAATTTAAATATTCATATTGAGTTCTGCCATAAGCTGGTAATATTATTTATTGCCCCATTTAATATTTATGATAGTTCTCTGCTAAAAAAACATTGAAAATTGAACGTGTTAATTTCCCAAAGAGGCCCCTCTCGCTTGCCTTCTCAAAACGCACAACCAGAGGAGGGCACGCACTTGAAATTAAAGTTCAAGATGCTGCTTTGAGGAGTGAAAAGAAGACACCCCTTGGCAAAAGGCGGGTGGAGGAATCGCGTCGGCAGAGGCAGCCGGCACAGCAGTCGTTTCGCCTCGGCCGAAACACTCACGCAGTCTGGACGGACTTCTCGTCCCTCGATCGATTTACCCACCCCACGCTATACACACATTGTACATAATGTGTTCGCAGACACACACACAGCATCCCCCGTATTGCACATGGGGTATTTGCGCCCCTGCTTCTGATCGGGTCGCTGCAGCCGCGAATAAAAATAAATAATTTCTTTCACTCCCTCTTTATGGACGAAATAAAAGCGGCCGACGTCAAAGAAAGCCAAGGCGAGGAATCAGATCGGAATCGTTTCGAACGGAAATTATTGATGATGTTAGTCAGGCAAATGATAATGATGTTGTGGTTTTACTCTGTTTGCGCTTGAATAATATTGATTGTTCCTGATGACAGCAGAAAATAGATTTGTTTAGATTGGCATTAATAACAATTCTAAAACCAGTTAAATTTAAATTATTTGTTCAATTATTTAATTTCCTGATTGCAATTATATGCATAAAATTGACCAGTCGACCAATTACGGCGCAACCGCATCCATAATTGATGAGTTCAAATTAATCTGTGCCGCAGAAAGCATTAACCCTTTGATTGTCCACAACCTCTTTTATGCATTTAGCTCCAAGCTACGAAGATTAAAGGTCGCCGGCTCATTAACGAAAGACCTTTCTTTATAATATAGTTCTTTGAGTTTCGTAAATCTTAATTACATCTCGCGCAGAGGCCGTGCACGATTCGATAATTAGTCTTCATCTTTGCGTGGCTAATCATGTCATTACATATAATTTGGGTTCTGCGAATTCGACTGTCCGCTTCTGCTAATCCGCGCAAATTAATGTGATTCGCGAACAAAAAGGCAGCGGCAAAACAGAGTTATTGATCCGCTGGTGCGGCGAGTACTTACGTTCAGTGGAGCAATACGCCGCCTCCCCTGTCCGAAAGGTTGCTTTGCGCTGTCCGAAGTGTGGCTGGTATCCCGAGCGGGTCGTCCGAAGTGCAAATCGAGTCACTCACTGACAGAAAAGACACGAACGATTCACGTTTTTGCAGCGGCCTAGGTATCTCAACTCGGCGCTCGCAGAGCCGTCCGTGTCCGCCTCGCAGCAGCAACCCCACAACTTTGAAAGACAGCAGAGCACAGACTTGCGTACTACGAACGGGCCCCTCGCCGAGCAACCCAGACTGGCGCACAAAGCGCACGAGCAGCAGCCGTAGTTGCTCCATTCGCCGACAGAGGAAGGGAAGGGCGACTGTTTTCTTTCATTTCTGGGTTTATAGAATTTAGAAAATTGTTTTATTTTATTTTTCTATCAATTATCCCCTTTTCTGAATTTCAGAGAATTCTTCAAAATAACGTTATGGTTAAAACGTAAATTTCTTTTTTTGTAAGTTTGAGATTATTTTAAAGTTTTTAAAACTTACAAAATAATAATAAGGTTAAACTGCGTTCCTCTACTGCTACTGGAATTTTAAAGAGTGACGGCGAAATAGCGGAGAGAATCTCTATTTATAACAAAGCAACCAAAGCAACAATGAACTTTTTAAGGGGGCGTGGTCAAAACCTCAAGCGAGAGGCGAGATCATCCCGCGATCCACGACAGGCCAAACTAGAGCACATAGAGAAGCAAGATGAGCCTATAACTACGTTTCTTCATTATTGTGTTTCGCACCGGCCTGCTCTTTATTTAAAGCTAGGTTGCTTGATCTGACCTGAAGCAAAAAGAATATGTTAATAAATTTAATAAATTGAGAAATGTCTGAAAATAAAATCAAAGCCTAACAGAACAGAACTGAGACTTATTTTTAATAGATCATCATAAAAACGAATGGAAATATATAATCCACATTCGGCACATTCCACTTGCACCAACACCAATACAAAAATCTGGGAAGCACGTTCAACTCTCAACACAATAAACGATTTCGGATTTTGTATGCAGTGATCAAGATTGAAGTGTGAAAATAAATTAAAGATTTTATCCTAATCTAAATTTGTCTATTAGTAATACAAATAGTAATTGACATTTGAAAGTTTTAGCAGCTACGTTTGTGTGTATGTATGTCTGGATTTAGTGGTTTTTTACAGGAATTGCCGGCAAACAGGGGTGAAGGATCGCAGCAGACGGCGGCGACGAGACCCAAATGTCAAAAAAATTGAGGGAGAGCGGGAGTAGAAAGACTAGAAACAGTTTATTATTGTACGCTATTGAAATTTTTAGGTCTCGGTGCAATTTAAAATATAGTTGACATAGGGAGGTTGGCGACTTTTCCAGCGATGCAAGTGCAGCCCAAAGAATCCCCCCTACCTTTGGAAAATCAATTGTTTAATTTTTGTGTTAAATAGAGCTATAATTAAAATATGAAAATTTCATTTTTTTTTTCATAGAATATAATAATAAAATTTTTTATGTACCGTGAATTAGATTCTTGCCTTGCTTGCCTCGGTGTTCATACTTTTGTCATGAACTAAAAATTGAAGTGGGGGAGAGCACTTCAATTTGTAAATGATCAAAATGTTCACAAAATGAAAAAAAAAATGTTTTAGATGAGTCATCTAATGTTGAATAGATATATAATTTAATATGCAAAAATGACCAAGCGTCCTGGTCTGGCAGTACTGCTGTTAGTTGCATAACATGAAGTTCGGCACCGTGCATAGTCCCACTTTAATTCTACTTTTTGTAATCTCTTTCAGCTTTGTAAAATGTAAGATTTTTTTTTTAATTTTTAGCTCTTGCCTACTGCAAAAACTTTTTGAATTACTCAAACTTGTTTAAATAAAATTCTTTTGCAATTAAAGAGGAAAATAACTGACCGGTAAATTTGAACTTTTCAGCGCAATTATTAGATGTGGGTCTCTGCATCTCTTCCACGGCTTCTTGCATGGCCCTCAGCGATTGTCGCCTCGTTGCGGAGCTAATGGATCGGCAATGTCTAGCACCTGGAAGGTATTTATCAAATGTCCACAATGATGATATAGCATCAATAATTTTTAATATTTAGAAAATGAATATACAAAAATTGAAATAAAAAATTTATAAAAAGCAGCAATTAAAATTTAACATTTTAAATTTGCATATTTTCTGTATTTCTTTGTAGAAATATAATTGTTCAATATTTGAGCGCTAAATTTTTGTTTAACAAATTTGCTATAGACTTCGTGACATGACGTGTGGTTATTCGAATGCAACTCGACAACCTCTTGTCTGTTGTCCCAGTAAGGTCAGTATTAATTTAATTTAAAAAAATGGCCAAACAAGATTTTAGTTAAATCTCATCCTCAATCAAGGACACTGGATTATCGCAACCAGGGTCAATTCCTGACTACACCACAACTGGGGGTGACGACGATGGTAACGACCCTTCGACAAGCGACATTCAACTATCCAATGGAAGCTCAGAGACGGACGGTGGGTCCACGAGCAGTAGCAGCGGCGGTGGTTTGCCAATTTTCAATGTTTGCGGGCTGCCGCAGCTCATTGCGGGGACCCCATCAAGGATACCCCTCCAGGCAGGACCAACAAGACTCGGTGCCCACCCATGGGTCGTTCGACTTGGTCACAGAAGTGAGCGCAAATAAGAACCCCCTTACAAATTCAATATTATGCAACCCAATTACACCCGTGTCAAGCAAGTTGCCTGCTTTTACATGCGTCTCATTTCAATTTTTAAATTTATTAATCTTATTGTTATGCAACATATCTAAATTTAAATTTGACAAAATAACAATTCTCGCTGATAAAAAAGAAGGAAAAATAATTAATCAATAACACAAGATGATTGAATAATTTCCGTTTCTTTCAATTGTTCAAATTAATTATATTTATTTTTTTTCTTTATAAACTTGTTAATTATTTATAACCTAAATATATTTTATTTAAGATTTGAATAGTGGAGTGACTGAATTTTACGGTGCTGGAGTGCTCATTACAGAGAAACACGTTCTCACTGCGGCGCATTGTCTGAATATGAAAGGAAGCAATTACCGGCTGTAAGCAAATTTTTCCGCAGCAATTTGTATTCAAATATGACCACATCGCATTATATCTTTTGTGTGCTGCTTAAATGGTCCGAGTGTTTTAAAGTGTCCTTTTGACGTTCCGCAGGGTGACGGTGCGTGTGGGCGAATATGACACAAGCTCCAACCCTGATTGTTCACAGTCACTGTGTGCGATACCGGCCAAGGACATCCCAATTTTGAAAACTGCAGTTCATCCTAATTATGATGAATCATCTTCTTATAATCATGATATTATGATCATCACGCTCCAGTCGTCAGTAAATTTTACAAGTGCGCGTTAAAAAATTTTAAATGATATATTAATATATCATTTAAAATTTATAATTATTTAATTGCATATAAATGGGTTTAAAAAGCGGATATTCTAATAAAAATTATCAAAGGATGGTTTATGATGACTTTATAACAGTATTGTAAAAAAATTATTATTTAAATTAAACCACACAAAAATAAAAAATGCGGTTTACAGTCAATTTATTAAGTTTCTTTAAAAAAATAATGGAAATAAAAATTTAATATGTTTCAATGGATAAAAAATAAAATTTATTTTCCAGTAAATGTGCAACCAGTCTGTGTATTGACCAGAACTTCTGCAAACTTAGTCGGTCGGAGGGCTCTTGTCGTTGGCTATGGCAGATTGGCAAATGCGCAAAAAGTTCATGCGTTGCAGCAGGCTCTGGAAGTGCCTATTGTGCCAACTTCTACTTGTCAGAGATTTTACACAAAATATGGTTTCCTGGACAATCGCCTATGCGCTGGTGGTGAACCAGGCCGAGACATGTGTCAAGGATTTAGCGGGGCACCTCTCTTTGTGGTAAATTTTTTAATTTGATCATTTCCACTGAAGATAACTAAAAAAAGGAATTATTTTATAATAGAGAGCTGGAGGTGTCGGAGCATATTTTGTTGCTGGCATTAGATCTTTTGGCTCGGACCAGTGTGGCATTGCTGGGTCTGCAAACGTTTACACCCAAGTTTCTCGCTACACAGCCTTCATCAGGAATCAGCTGAACTAAAAATTTAATATTTTGTAATTGACATATTAATAAAAATGAATAAAACCAATATTGGACTCTTTCAGGATAAAAGATGATAATAATTTATTAATTAAATCTCATTGAATTAATTAATTACAAAGATGCATTGGTGACAACATAGGTCTTACAGCTTAATACATATGATAACACACATCATATTATCTGCAATTTCTTGTTATTCCATTTTTTGCGGGAGTGCAAAATCGCCACAGGCGCGATTTCCCACCGTCTTTATTATGTAGTTATTATTGTATTGATGTAAGCAGCGCGTGTAATGAACCAACAACCTCTGAGAGAGGGTTAGTCCAAGATAACACAGTGGTTGTAATAATAATTGCGTGTGATATGACACAAATTAATTACTCAAAACACATTTTGCTTTTTTTAGTTAGGCCATAGTCCGTGCGTACCTTACTAGTTGTGGGAAATAAAGACAGAGGAAAAGGAGAGTTAATTTTATGACTAGCATTATTAATAATCAATTCCATCAAACCACTGATACACAAAATAGAACTGTTGAGAGTTGGCTTGTTCCGATCGGCAGAAATTGAAAATATAGTCAGGACTTGAGCAAGAGAGGCGTACGTTTTTGCTACTACAATAAATAAATGTGTTGAGTGAAGTGGTCAGATCTGGAGACATTTTTCTACACCACATCTGACAATTTGGGGCTGTTCTCAAACTAAAAAGCAACTTTTCTAAGAAAAGCCGTAGGAGAAGCAGCGATTATGCATTGCATACACATATTCCAGGGACAACTACTATTTCACATCAGTGGGTAAGGCCTCGTTTTTCCTCTAACTCAACTACAGGGAACAAATTCTCACATACAGTGATTTTTTTTCTTTTTTAAAAAAGAGAAGTGGCTTTTTCTGACAAGTTAAAAGGGTGAAATGTATAGAAACATAGGAGGCAGGCAAGAAGAAATAAATTAATACAAATGTACAAATATTGAGCCTGTCAAATAATTCTAGTCTACACCATATTAATTACACAGTACTGCAGTGTATCAGCAGAGTCAGTTCTTTTTTTGCGTCAAATTGAACCCTTGTTTATATATACAAAAGAAATGGTTACTTTGTGCCGTCTGCGTGTTATAACTGGCAGTGAGGGCGTGAAGATGAGTGAGTTTACTTAGACTTAAGAGAAAAAGTTTTCAGATGATGGCATCTTTTTAAGTTCCAGCCTGGTTTGACTGGAACCTCCAGCGGCTGCTAAGTACTGCTCGGAGAGGGAGAAGTTCTTGGCCAGGCAATTTTTGCATCTATTCTTTTGTACGCAAAGACGCAGTGCCTTCCATCCTGACTCACAATGTCCTTCACATCTTGAGGGCACTCGCCATCATTCAGCAAAGTTTCTACATTAAAATTGAAAATTAAATTCATTTCAAAATTATAGAAAATTATTTTTTACCTTCTCCGTCAACAAGTTTGTAGAGTCCATAGTCTTGAGGGTTAGTGATCCTAATTTTGTGAGCAATGATTTTGCACACATCTCTGGTGGTTGTGTTGGGCCTCACAGGAAGGGTCTTGGTCAAAATTGAGCCATGCAGCTCATCTGGAACGACAATTCGCAGCACAGACCGGAGCTCAGCCAGCGAACCACCTCTCCACTAAGATTTTTAAATTTATTAGATTGTATTTAACTAAAACCAATATTTCTTTTACATCAAGTGATGGGTTTTGAGTCTCATAGCAAGCCCTGAAGTTCTTCAACACATGGACAGCGCTGGACAACGTTGTCAAGTAATAACCGCCCTCTCCAGAAAGTAGAGAGGGTTGCAGCAGACCCCACATGAACTCGGCCTCGATTTCCGCAGCCACCATGCCTCCCCTAACAAGCACCCAGACAAAAAGGGGCAAAAAGTCGTCAGCACCAAGAAGGACTCCTCCTCGATTTTGATTGGAAGATTTCACCTGAATATAAAAATTAGAAAATGCTCCAAATTAAATTAATGAATAGCAACATACAGAGTTGAATATTGTGGATATGCAAGCAAGGAGGTTTTCCAGTTTTTCCAAGGGCGAGTCAACCTGTTGCAAACGAGTCAGGTAGTGACAGATGGTATGCAGGGATTGCTCAGATGGAGGTGAAATTTTAGCCTGGAAAATAAAGTAAAAAATTAATGAAGTCATTGAAGAATAATAAATAAGTGCAAATTAAAAATTGTTTCTTACTTTGGTGGATCTTTTCATCTAACGTTAAAAAGTTTTAAAGTAAAATGTAATCATAATGTAAATGAATGCTTACTCTGATCCCCAAGTCATGTGGTGGTTTAGTGCGCGCATACTGGATATTGCTGGCCAGCAGCTGAATCGCTCCAGTTCGAGAATACTCGGCCACAAACAAACGATAAAGATGCTCTCTCAATGGTCTAACCACCAGCTTGTGCATCACGCCTTCCAAAATTGCGTCCAAATTCAGAAACTCATTGGCCTTTAACTATAATAAATTTAAAATTAGCCAATCGATATATAGAAAAATTAAAATATTTACCTTGTTCCTTTCCTTTTCGACCTCCTTTTCAAAATTGCGCTCTCCGTGCTTGACCAGGTAGTTTTTCATGCCAGACATGAACTGCCTCATGTTCCTCATAGCCACGTGAGGGCTGCGCTCCTTCGACTCCCTGGTGCACTGGATGAAGTTTTCAATATTCTGGGCAAAGGTGGTGCTTTTGTCAGCCGCCAATTGTAGGGCGTATGCCCTGATCGTCGCTCCGGTGCTTCCGCCATCTCGAGCCCTCAACGCCTGAAGACGAGGGGGAGCTGAGAAGAGAAAACAAAATTAAGCATATTTTCAAAACCACAAATTTTCAAATTAAAAGGGCAGCGTAGCATGAAGAGGTTTGCGCTCTTACGATTGAAGAGAGTGACGAGGGCACTGCTAGTTCTTTTGGCCACTTTGCACAACCAGCTGCCGATTATTTTAAACAAGTTTCTAACTTTAGCAAACTTGGAGGGCTTATTAGTGGTCTGCTCCCGCATTTTTGAAAGTGAGACTGAAGCAGGAGTGAGTACGTGACTCTTTAAGAGAACTGACTGTACCTTGAGTCGAGTTGCAACACTGACTGAGTCTGGCCCATTTCGAGGCGCATCCTCCTCAACTTCGACAAGCATGTGAGTTGCATATGACTCAGATAAAGGGACTACCAAACAATGGACTTTGTTTGTGTGTACTTTAATTGCGCGTTTCTTTATTTAATAGTCACTGGATCCTCCAGAACCGGAGTTAAAGGTAAAAATAAAATAATATTGCATAAGAATATAAATATTTCAACATTCCAATGAGGATTTTCCAAAACTTGAGGTAATTCACTTTACAGGAGATATTCAAAAATAACAGAAAATGAAAGAAATTTAGAAAAAATTAAAATTCCATCATAAATGATCAAAAGGTTATGTTCTTTATACCCCTATAATATCAACTTGCTTTTATAGAATATTCTGGTAAAGAGCTTAACAGAGTCACATGTCTGCAGCAGGGAATCTGAGCATGAGCTGCTCATGAGCAAGATTGAGCAAAATTTTGCTCATGAGCAGCCTTGAGCAAGGGTTTGTTGAGCATGCTCATGAGCAGATGCGATTGAGCACCCTCGGAGGTGAGCATGCTCATGAGCAGACAAAGTTGAGCACCCCAAAAGTGAGCATGCTCATGAGCAGACGAAGTTGAGCACCCTCTGAGGTGAGCATGCTCATGAGCAAACGTAGTTGAGCACCCCGGAGTTGAGCATGCTCATGAGCAGACGAAGTTGAGCACCCCAAAAGTGAGCATGCTCATGAGCAGAACTATTTGCTCAATAATATCCCCTCATCTGCTCCTATGTATTTTTCTCCCTGCAATAAATAGGAATTAGGAAATCATAAATACATAGAGAGACCAAGAAAATCCAGCGTAAGGTGCTCATGTATCGTCTCCAATACATTATCCCCGTACCCTTCAAAAACTTCAGTGGCCTTTAGCCGCTCGCCGACTGCCGCCGCCACCCTCTCGCTGCTTCCCCTCTATTCCTCTACTACATAGTTCCGCTCTGCCTCCTTTATTATCATGTGCTCCTGGCATTCATTCCTTTTTCAAAGACCCAAATAATCCAAGTATTTAGAGCGCAATTAAAAATTAATTACGTTGCGACTAAAAATAAAAATTAAACTTTCCCCACTTTACTTATAAATACATTTGACTATTTAAAATCTCAATTTTCTCTTTTTAATTTTGGATTTAAATATAACCTTCAGTATTATAATTAGAGTCTAATGAGAACCAACACATATTAATATTTTATTATTTTTATGTTTTAATTTTATGATATTTTTGGCCACTTTTAATTTATTATGCAATTGGATTATAAGGAGAGTAATACAGAAATTGTCTCCTCATATAAACTTGAGCATGAGCAAGATTGAGCAAAATTTGCTCATGAGCAGCCTTGAGCAAAGGTCCGTTGAGCAGAGCATTGAGCACATGCAAGTGAGCACCCTGAAAGTGAGCATGCTCATGAGCAAATGCGATTGAGCACCCTCTGAGGTGAGCATGCTCATGAGCAGACGAGGTTGAGCACCCAAAAATTGAGCATGCTCATGAGCAGACGTAGTTGAGCACCCAAATAGTGAGCATGCTCATGAGCAGACAAAGTTGAGCACCCAAAAAGTGAGCATGCTCATGAGCAAAACTGGTTGAGCAGATGAAAATGCTCGTGCTCAGAAACCCTGGTCTGCAGACTATCAATATATTGACCAGAGTTCAAATTTATTATTTGCCAAGTCTGGGATCAGGGAGACATTTGTTTGTTCCAGAAATGAATGAAGTGCTTACTCTGGATGTAGTTAAATAATTATTTAAAATTTACTCACACAACAATGGGTCCATCCTGTCCTTAAAGCTCTTTGTCCTGGACAGGTGAGGCAGCTTGCATTCCATTGCAGATCTGTTCTGGGTCATATCCTCCTCGTCAGGAATCAAAGGGTCGCCACTCAGGTGCACGAGGGAAGAATTTGTTGAGGCTCCACCAGGGGTGCCATTGTGAGAGCTGAGCCGATCTTCGTCCCGCATTTGCTGCTGCTGGCTCTTTTGCAGAAGGAGGGTCTCCCAGCGAGAACTGTCCCAAGGTTCGGAAAACACCGTGTGGGCGTCTTCATCACTGGCCTGTTAATTGTCAAAAAATAAATTTATTTTATTTTTCATAAAAATTTAAAAAAAATGTCAAATTTTTATTTTTATTAGAATAGATGATATTTTTAACTAAAAATTTTGTAAAAACCAATTTAAAATTAAAACACATGTATAAAAATCACCTGAGAATTAGAGCTTCTGGAAGAATAGGGGCCGTGGTTCATCAGCCCCTCAACATTGTCATAGGCAGACATACGGCATGAGTCACTATTGTTCGAGTGAGTGGAGTTCTCACGCACTATGGGGTTGTCATTAATGCCTGGTGAAACAATGCCAGGGATGGATATGTCAGGTGGGATTCCCAGCTCAGGGCACTTTTCAGCAATCAGCTCTTGGGCAGTGAGGGGCCTTTTAAGCAGGCGCCTCCGCAGTTTTCCATCAGAGTCCAGGTGGGTGACCACATCGTCTTCCTCGTAGTCTTCGTCAAAGTTCAAAGGTGGAAACCGGTTGCTCACTGGCTCGTCCACACCTTCACTGGCAGGAGAGCCTGCCTGACTGCCGAAAAACTCCCAGCTACTGTCCACAGCCCACGATCCATCTCCTCTCGATATTCCTAAAAAAGTCAAATTAATTATTTATAATCCACAATATTAGAGGGCTTAGAGAGAAGAAAGGATTTTTGTCTGAATTAAAATTTAAATAAACAAAGGGATAAAATAATATAAAAATTGAGATCTTTAAATTTAATATTGTACCTTTTGCTTTTCCCAAAACTCGCGGAACCTGCACTGGCTTAGCCTTCGGTTGCTGTCTGCTTTTGATAGCTGCCAAATGGGACTCGGACACCCCAGACAGAATTTTCACTGGTCCCATCAAGTTAGGGGTCAGAGGATTGCTCGACGAGGTGATCAAAGGGTGCTGGTGTGAAACAGCACTCATTGGGGTGGAGGCTGTGCTTGTGGGTGAGCGCAGCATTGTGATGTTGTCCACACTGGCCGCTGCGTGGATTTCCTCTGAAGACTCGATGCGCTCCAATGGCTGGTGCTGGCGGCCGTTGATTTGTGGAGGCGGCCACCAAGTGTGCTGAATTGTGGGGTCCGAGTGGCGGTGGCTAGCAAGCACCCTCTGCCTGTGCTGTGGAACCACCCCAGCGGGACGAGGCTTGCGCCTCTGCACACTGAACTTGATGGCGTCCGCTGGCTCAGCATAAAAAGGACTTCCACCTAAAAAAATTTGAAATTAATAATATTAATTTAAGGTGAATTGTAAAATTCTAAATAGCATAATTTTTATAACCTTATAAGTGTGAAAAAGTTTAAAAAGAAAATTAAATAAAACTCACTTGGTTTATTTCCCTCTTCGTCTAGGGGTGAGCTGATGGGAGACTCCAAGATCAGGGGTGAAACTGGACTTGTGACAGGACTGACGAGATTGTTTTTGCCCATCAGAGAGGCGCAGCTGCCCAGAAGATCAGGTCTCCGGTCATCTCCACTCAGTTCGTTAGCTGATACGCTCTGAGGGATTCTCGGTTTGAAGGTCAACAGCTCGGGCGTTATTGAGGGTGCCTGTTGTGGCGACTTGATTTTGTGCTCAGGGGGCGACGGACCCCAGATATCTTCGTAATCACTGATCTTGTCCGCCACCGAGCTTCTGTAATAGACGGTGGGAGACTCGAGGATGTCCGACTCCTGGTAGTGGTAAGACTCCTTGTTCGAACTGACCTTTCTCTTTGACCGTCTGCTCGAATGTCCCGTCGTGGGGGTGGCTGCCTTGCTCTCGGTGGGGCTGCAGATCAGTCCAGGGTGCAGGGTTTGCTGAGGGCTGGTCAAACCTTCGGACCGCAATTCTTCAATTTTCGGGGTTGTAGTTGTGATGGAGGAGCTCACTTGGAAGGTCACTGAAGTGGTCACAGAAAAGTTCTGACTGGGTTTGGCCCACCTGGGCGGTGGTTTTGGGGGGTTGCTTTTGGTTGTTGGGGTGCTGGCGTTGGGGCTCAGAGGGCTGTTTGTGGCAGAGGACAAATTTGACTGGAGGAGGTTCAAAGAGTTTGGGCGCGCGGCCTTTTGGGGAATAATGGAAGTGGAAGGTGGGGAGGGTTCTTTGAAAGGGGCAAGGTTGAGGACGATGTTGTCTTTTGGGGGTGAGGAGGAAGCACTTCCATTGTTATTGTTCAGCAGGTTGTTGAGATTGCTGTTGCTGAGGTTGTTTATGGAACAACTGCCGGACCCGAAGCTACACAAGCTGGACTGGCTACTATTGGGGGTTTGTTGTTTCACTGGAGGCTCGTCTTCGGAGGCGGCGGTAATTGGTGGGCTCAGCCTTAGTGACGGTGGTGCCGTTAGGGGCGCAGTGAGGGGCACTTCTGCACCTGGGGTGCCCCTCTCAGGACGAGGATTGGCCATCGGATAACGCCAAAATTCTGAAGATATAAAAAATAATTAATTATTATGCAATCATTATTTATTTTGAATGTACCTTGCCCTAGAAGAGCCAGCGACGAGAGTTGCTGCCTATTTCTGGCTTCTCTGATGGCACGAGGTAGTGTCAACTGCACTGGTAGTTCATCACTGAAAACATCGGCGGCAAGTAAGCCATCATGAACGTCACGTTCTCACTCCACTGTCAAGCAGTGTAATCGAATATAAAAAAGTGTCTCACCAGCATTGCGCATAATGTGCCACGAGGGTAGGAATGTCATCAAACTTGTTCTCGGAGCTCTCAAGAGCCAGCTGACCTGTGCTAGTGGCCTGAACCAGGTAGTGCTCGATATAGGGCCCTTTACCAGCAGGCAGTCGCACTGATATGGCCATTGTGTCCGCCTGACTTGACTGACGGACGACAAAATTCTGAAAAGAGGACGCTGATTAACACATTATTGTCTGTAAAAAAATACTTAAAAATAAACAGAACATAATGCAAGCTTTCTCTGGTCTAAAACTTATAAAAAAAAAAAAAATACTTAGTATACGTTGCAGTAAAGAAAGGAATAAATTTCAAAATGGTAATTAAAAAATTATCTATATTTTATATATCATAATTTGGTAATTAAAAAAGAATTAATTTAATTAGTAAAAATATATTGAACTTACCCCTTCCTCCTTCCCCTGCAGCAAATGAACCGCTCCTGCCCTTTGAAGGCCGGCTAGAAACCAAACAGGATGCGACCTGATGAGTCGCTCGACCAGTCCAATGTCGCACGGTGCCATGGAGCCGCCGCCACTGCTGCTGGCCTGTCCGCAGCTGTCCTCGTCATCTTCCTCGCCTTCGTCGTCGCCCTCATCCTCGGAGGTCATTCCTCTAGGGACGCTCACGCTCTGTTTGAACACAAGAAATAGGAGTTTTGCGTCAGAAAAAAGAAGAAACAGATCTATTTGGCAAAAAATATTATTATAGGGACGAGGCTGGAGAAACTTGTTTGATTCATGATCTGCGAGGGGACGCCGCGCGCCTGGCTCCAAATTTAATTGTGCGCGGCCTCCTATTTCTCGCAATATATCACCCACGCGAGAGAGCACCGGGGAAATCCAATTATATGAGCCAAGAGGAATTGATAAATGCACTCTAGTAATAGGGCCGAAGAGCGCCTACTCGGGCGAGGCACAAGAGGGTGATGGAGCATTGATGATCAAAGTTTGCCCTTCAATTTTTCTCTTTAGCTCAATTTCACGGCAGACATTTGTCTTCTGATGTTTGGAGAGACTGACACAGCAGCGAGTTGAAATATAGACTAGGTCTAAAAATAATTCTAGATGACTTCATTCACGTCAATTCTGATTTCCACAGCAACAAAAAATTTAAAATTCAATGTTAATTTTATTTCATAAACAATAATTTGAAACTAAATTTAATTATTTATTTAATTTTATTCTCCATACAAATGAGTAAAATTAATTTACAAAATAAAACATGCAATACACAATTACTAAGAATAGGTTAACACACTTCTGAGCTTAGGGTATAATACTATTTTGAGGAAACCATTTCACGGGATTCAAATCCATAGAAATGTATGAGCCAATTAATCAGTTGCACGAATCAGGCCAATCCGAAATACCAGGAAATTGTTTTCCGCCCGTTCCGTGCGTCGTAAATACGAGACCGACAGCTGCTGGCTGTTGCATTTTCCAATCAATGGCCGCTCCAGATTTCCCGGCCAACAACAAAGCAAGTGCATTAGTGCGCCGAGAGTGCGTGCGAACTCTGCGGCCAACAAAGTGGCGCGTGCCACCGACTCGGCTGGCAATCTATCCCCTAACGACCCTAGGCTTGAAAATTTAGTTCCAATCTTAACTCCCCTGTATTTGTAATTTTGTTAGCGCGCCGAGCTTGGAGCTGGGATAATGTATGGGAAACGGGCAGGCAACACGCAATGCACAAGACACAAATCTGCAGGCGGCAAATAAAGTTCTTGGCCGCGGGAAAAGCGAAACTGCGTCTTCTTCTCATTATTGCTCTCTGCGCGGAAAGTTAAGCAAGAAGAAAGGGAAATTGAACTTGTGTTGCCGAGATATATTATACAAGTTGGGGACTTCTGGAGGAGAATCAAAGAGAGAAGCAATTTTGGTTGCGGATGGAGATGAGAATTTCGCCATGGGGCCGACCAAAAGAGGAGGAGAGAATGAAAATTCATTGATGGAACTTTGATGTTCGCTACGCGGCGAAACAAAATTATTAAAAATTCAGAGGTGCTTCCGGGCGTGAATTATGTATGCAAAAAGAGAACGTTTCATCGACCAGTTCTGTTAAAGGGAGGCATATTTTTGAATGGCTCGTTTATTACTTGCAACTTCCAACAATCACGCGATATTTAAGAATTATTATACTCGCTCTACAATAAAAATTATATAAAAAAGAAATTCTAGGAAGACAAAGTTGGATATAAAATGTCCAGAAGAAACAAATGTTTCTTTTTCTGCAAACCCTTAAATGCGAGTTATGCATTCCACTGGACATTCCTGAGTAACTATAAAACTATACCAACCGTCTTTCTTTTGCTTCTCTTTGCTCTCGGCCAGCTCTAATTGCAAAAAGACTTTTCTCATAAATCACTAAGCACGCAATTATTCTTATAATTAGTAGCAATTCCGCTGGAATTTTTAAATAATTATTGCAAAAGAGGTGAAATCTTTTTATCTTTTTTCTTTGAAGATTTATAATGGACGGAAATGACAAAATTTAAATAGATAGCATTGCCTGCTGCGAGTTTCGGAAGCACCCCATCGAGCCTCCTTTCCTCTCATTTTCTGCTCAATTTTCTCTCTAATCTCGGACGCCTAAGAGCTTGGCAGCATCTCTCTTTTCTTGGCGACATCACATAATAAGGCCTGCTCCTCGAGATATATATACCGTGATGGCATTATATTGGAAACTGCATGACAGCCCGTCGAGTCCTCTCTCCTCGAGGCGACGAGCAACCAACCCTGCCAGATCAAAGCAGTGTGCGGTGTGTACACAGAAACACAACACGTAGCAAGCTGATATGGATGCTGCTCTCATCATAAAGTTATGCGAGATTAAAAAGAAAGACCCTCTGCGGGTTTTTTGAGGGCGTCTTGCGAGAGCCCGTCATGACTCACCCCCGAGAATAATGCGTGGGGGTGAGAGGCAGATAAGTAGTGCGCAATCCCCGCTGACAGCATTCTCTGTATTTTCACTTGCCTCCCATATTCGCTTGTAATTTGCTCGAGCGCGACGACTCGCTCTCGTTTTTCCTTTGTGCCGATCGCAATTATACACGAATGTGTTCGCGTCTCTCACTAAAAAAGTCGAGGGGGTGTTTTTTTTTTTTTTTGTGCATATTATTTTCAACAAACCTCCCTATTACAAAAGACGACCTCCTGCTGATTTCGCGAGCGAGGCCGTTAATTTGTATTTGCATCACAAATAAAACATAATGAAAACCGGATCGAGGTATTTTTTTATTCAACAGAAGAGCGGTCGGAAATTTCAATTCAGGGCCTCGCTTTTTGCAACTTTCTGAACACTTTCGCAACCCCTGATCCGTCCGTTTTTATGCAAACACCAGAGATGAATTTCAAAAGAGCTCGGAATAAATTAGAATCTACTCGAATTCAAAGCCAGCCAGCCATATATTGCGATGCAAATCTCCGTCTCCTCCACACGCAGTATGCTCAAAACTTTCAAATCTGCAGAGTCTGGTCGTCTGGCTATATGACTGGTGACATTTATTTTGCCTCCATTTCTCCCTCGCTCGGAAGCATTGTCCCCGCATATGAATAGAAAGAAGTGCAATTTATCTGTTGGCAGCGGATGCATTAGAATAAAGCGAGCGGCGATTGTTTTTGTTTCCTCCCGTACATGGAAAAATTGCATTCACCCCGGTGCCTTTTTCAATAACGGGCGGACCGAGAAATAATGGATATTCGCTGTTCTGCCGCTTTGTTTTCGTTCTCCAATTGTTCTGGGCAGGGTATGTATGCAACCGGCCATAAATTGCAGAAGGGTATTACTAAGGGACGGGCTATTATTTGTAGGGGTTGTTTTATCTGATGGTGGCCACGGTGACGATACGTTTAATACGGGTCATTTGTAGGCGGCCCCCCGGTCCCTTTTTTCGCTCTCCCTCAAATGTTTCTATTCAGAATTCAGTTACCATATGATATGCTGCTTGTCGCTACGGTTAAAAATTGTTTAAAAAAAAAGAGGCATTCAGACAGTAGGACGTGAGCAAATTAAATGCATGAACAATCAGAACGTTATTATTGAATAAGTCATTAAAAAAATTTAAATGGAAAATATGAGCGGAAAGGGCAACTAGCAGAGGTCTGCAATAACGCCCGACATCAAAAGAGACACGGCCGCCGCGGTGAGCCCAGAACGTTAAAATTATGAAACTATTAAGTAAGGTTTCAGTTTGGTACAAATATTTATGAATGAAAAATCTGCTAATAAGTATAATTTTGTTCAATTACGCCCAGCTTTTCCTAAATCAGATCATCAGTGCTATTGTTCAGGATACAACCTGAATTCTTATAAACTTTTTTCATAATTATTGAGTTGGTATGAACATAATATGTGAATCTAATTTCTTATTGAATATAATGTAGATTAATTACAACAGCAATTAAAGATTAATTGCAAGAACCAGACGGAACCAGAGGAGGGAGAATTAGGATTACCTTTTATGTTTTTTGTAACCATAATTCATGGATCACGACTTATAAATATATAAATCTTAAAATTAAATTTTTAATAACATTATATTATTTAATTGTTATGTAGGATTAAAAAAAATATCAAATTATTTATATGTAAATTAATTTTAATAATACATTTTAATTAAAAAAAATTAAAATATAAAAATATGACGGGTATTGGAATTATTTTAATAAAATTAAATATATTTTTTACAACTATTTTTAAATTTAATTTATGTACTTTATGTGTTTTACAGATCAAGTCGTTTCCTGAAATGTAGTGCGAAAAAGCAACACTATGGTCTAATGGTCTCATACTCTTATCCGCAGCATCTCTACATAGCAAGTGCCTCAAAACAAACATTTGTACACTTTCACAATTGGGTTCAAATTAATTAAGAGCAGCAAGAGTGCATCGCTTTACGCGCCTAATGGCCCTGGAGTTGTGTTTACACTCACGGAGCACGGCGCAAACATCGTCTGCGTCGTCAATTAATGCGTCCATACACAAGCGGACAGAGTATGAATCAGTTGTTATTAAGGGCGCGTCTGTCAACAATGAGTGAATGCGAGGACCATTGCAAACTATACAACTGCGTCCCGTTAGTGAAATTTTGCTCAAAATTTTCCCTCAATTTCACATGACCTGCATACAACCCAAGCAAATTACCAAGTCGTGTCTTGGTGAATGGTTCATTAATATGCAAATTCTCTTCACAGAACTTTTTCACTCACAGTACTTAAAAATATAAAGTTTGTCTTCTTTTATGCACCACTTAGCAGTTAATCCTGCGAGTAAGTATTTAGAAATTAAAAATGACTTGCTTGATATTTTAATGACAAAATTTAAACTATGCATTAATAAATTATTTTTTAGCCAAATGCTGAAAATTTCAAATGTGATCCAAATGTCTATTTCAAGGCTCCAGATTTCACACTCTATGCAAAAAAATGACGGTTTAGAAAGCCAAGGTGGCTGAATAATAATATCTCATATTTATCCTGCTTGGCCGCGGTTTTCAAGCAGCGCCTTTCAAACAGCCACGATTTAATTTACAGAGCAAAAAGCTGCCACGCTCTACAGTTTCAATATCGTCAAGTCGAACGACCTGCTGCTCGCGTTATTATGTAAAAATCTTACGTGCAGCAGATGAGCGGGCATTAAATTTAATGCGGCGCACGTACTTTCACTTTGCCCGACGGTGCTGCTCCAGACTTCTTACTTCAAGAACACGAGTAAGCCCAATCAGCTCATTTTACAACTTACTTATTGATTTTTAGAAAGATATTGTCAAGATATTTTATAACTTTTAGTGCCAATTAAAATGATTTGTATGACATGGTTTAGTATCATCAATTTATGGTACTCGGGATTCTTTACATTGATTAATTCATTTCGGTCCTCCTCTTTAGTCAGAGACCGTTTTAAAAGGAAAGAAAATAGCTTGTCTATATAAAATTTTCTAAATGAAAGTAATAATATAAATACCTAATTATAAATACAATATTAATTTTTTTTTAGTGATAAATCTTTAAAAAAATCCTGCTCTTTTTCCATAACATGCATTTTTTTTAATTACACTCGCTTTTTTGCATCCACATTTTTGTCGAAAATTCGTTTTTTGATTTATGTCTGAAAAGCACTGCTGGCATCATCATCATCATCAAACAGCGAGGAGGATGCCATTTCCCTGCTCCTCTCGCACCAGCTCCGTGCCAATACAATGGTGAGTGTATGAGTGTGTCGGACGCAGAAGGCGCCTACGTGGAAATAAATGATCGCTGCCGCTGATGTGATCATAAATTTCCGACGGCGCGGTGCACACGCCACTGCACCGCCGCTTTGACATTTTCTCCGCAGCCTAGCTGCATTGTGGTCTGCGAGTGTTACAAAACTCTTTAATAAGCCCCCGCATGATATTGCCAATAATCTGTTATGAGGGAAGAATGTACGTTGCAGTAGCAGTTGATTTTAAAAGTTGCAAGCTGCCGCCAAAGAGGTCAATTTAATATAAACAGAGTGACAGACGATCAATTAAGACTCGCAATGGTGGCAAGAGCAAAGGGCGTATACGCATTTTTCTCAGCTCTTAATTAATGCAAAAAAAATTACTCCTTGACAATCATTAATATTACTTATGGCAAATTAAGAAAATAAACAACAATGCAAAGAGAAATTATATTTAAATGTGTGAAAAGAATTTTTTGCATTTTTATTTATTGGGTACTAATTTTTTTTGCTACAATCTGATAAATTACTAATAAAAATAATAAATTAAAAATTTTATATCTAGCAAATTATGGCCACTAATTTCAATTCCTTTTCAATTCAATTATGAAAAATAAATCCAAAAAAAATCTTGTTTATTCAAGGTTTCAGCTTTAACAACTCAAAGAAGCTCAAATATTCTCTTTAATTTTTTGAATGTGGCATTTAATCTTTTGTTTTTACCAGTTTTTACTATCTTTTGATATTAATGGATTTATTGATCCAGCTTCGATAAATCAATTTTCTTGATGTCAATCATCGTCTGTCAATCACCTAACTTTTGATCAATATTAATTCAAAATTTAATATTGAAACAAACAAAACAAAATAATGAATCAAACACCTGCCAAACCACTTCCGCGGTCTTCAACAATAAATAAATAAAGTCAAACAATTTCTCTCCCCTCGCCTCTTTAATAATCGATTTTTTAAAGTTGACTGACCTGTGTCGAAAATGTGGTGGCGACCGTGACGTCACTGTCCCTGTGCGTGAGGTCGATCATCTTGAACTTGGAGGCGACGCCGTTGGACTCGGTGATGAGCGTCGCGGGTTGCGTTTCGTGCAAGAGCAGGGTGGCGTGAGGCGGCGAGGAGGCGTGCAGCATCCGTGGGGCGGCCACCGGGGCCTCCACAGGCGACGGCGGCCGATTGTTCTCGTCGTCATCGTAGTCTGTGTCGGCGTCCAGTCTCAACAAGGGTGACTCTCTTGCTGGGCCCAACCCTTGCATGTACGGCTCGAGAAAGGCATCGCCTCTGCAACGAATAATTGGACAATTCAGAATAAATTAAAAAGCATTAATTTATTTATATATTCTCCAATCAGATATATTAAAACACCTTTCATCAGATTAAAATTCAGAATATGAAATGGAACAGTTTAATCAAAATTTAAGTACATTTTTTCCTTCAGGTAAATAATATGTTCTAAGAACTTGTATTTAAAAAAAATTTGATTGTGAAACAACTCAATCCGTCCAGTTTATTGTTTAGTGGGTGTGTTTTAAATTTAGATAGAACAAAGGAGGCCACTTTTATTTACATAAAATGCAACTGGAGAGTTCTGGAAACTCGAAATACACTCTCTCTGACCCAACAGCCACTCTAACAAAGGCTGGGTTTTAATTTCTCGCTCTCGAACGTGAACATTTGTTTGACATTTCTCCCTTTCGTCGGAGCAAAAATTGCACGACTTTCGCTCCCCGCCCGCACTGATGCGGCTGCTTTTTGATTTCGCAGCAAGAGAGAGACGAGACCAAAACTTTCAAATTAAATTTATTACGCCGGGGGTTTCACTTGGTGTCGACCGAGTTCTGTAATTTGAGGGCTGCCTTCGCTACCATAATTTTGCCGGCAGCACTGTGGGGATGAAAAAAAGTACTCTTCGGATGTGATTCTAATTCTGTTAGTCGAAGAGCACGCAGAAAGCCGGTGAAATAAAAGCTGATCGAATTACACGGAGCATGAATGGTGCTCGTACACACACACCAGAGGTGAAGCCTCGCAAAAGTTTGGGGATCAATCGCGGCTCGATAAACATGTCAGCCGGAAAGTTTGTTTTTTGGGGTTTGCATTGGCTTTGTTTGATTAAATGAGGAAATTTTACACTGAGAGTGAAAGAGGATTTTGTGATGAAGCCGTAACAGTTTGAAATTTAAAAAAAAAAATTAATGGGATACAATGGGATATTAAAAATAACGATTATTTATCAATAATTTTTAATTTTAATAAAATTAAATAAATTATTTTTCCAATCCTATTTTAAATTTAATAAAAAAAAAATGAGAGCATTTAACCATGAATATTGGAAATATGAAATGCAATCTGCAGCTGTATGAATTGGAAATTCGCAATGAGGGTTGCGAGGAACAAAGGCCCCTCTCTTTTGAATGCATTACATAAAAGCCAGTCCTCTCCGCACATATTAAATGTCAAAGGCCGTCGGAGAAACCGAATATTTGACATTTCCAGTGGCGGTGGCGACGCACCAAATGTCACACTATAGCTCTCTCGGCTGCGACCCGTGTCCTCTCCAGTGACTCACACACGAAATGAAAATAATAAATTATTAGCAATTGGCCAAATTGAACGCTAGCTGCTCGTAATTGCGATTGGATAATGAAATAATAAAACGCACATGTGACTTTGGCCGCCGTTATTGGTCGTCACAATTTGTCGGCCCCGTTTGTCGAGCCCCCCGAATTCTCTCTCGGCTTCATTATGGAACTGGCGGCGTTTTAATCTGCGCTTTTCGCGCTTATCGTTCGGAAACACACGCGCTGCCCACGCCGCTCACAAAGAGAGAGAGGAGGCGGAATAATAATTTATCGAGTCGGCTCGGTGCATTCGATACCAATGTGTACACTATTCATGCTGAATAAATTGAGCTATTGCACGACGAGGGGTGTGATAATGAATGATTGCGAGCGATGCAGCGAGAGCTGCACAGTACGTTCGATTACAAAGGGCTTTTGATCAACTCAGAGGAATGTGAGCAAATTTTTAAGTCAGCAAGTTGATACGATATTGATTTTTAAATTTAAAAGCGAAATTTGTAATTACTGTTTCTAATGTTTGTTTCCACTTTTGGCATTCAGAAGGAAAGAATTTAATTTTATAAAGTATAAACATACTTGATCTTACTAATATTAAATTATTATTATGTATTTCACCATTTTTTTGTAAAAAATATTTATAATTTTTATTTTTTATATTAATATTTTATTTGATTTAATTACTAGTATTTCTATACTCTAAAGAAGAATTTTAATAATGTATATATTTAAAACTTTGAGCTAAAAAAAATAATATATTAATTTCTCTGAAGCTAATATTATGAACGCTCCATCTCTAATTGTAAGATTATTTCGAAGCAATCAATTTTGAGTGAATTATGAAAAAGAGGATTACAATTGTTAACGAAAAAATATTGAACTTTCTAAATAAATAAACAACTATAATTTGTCTGTTTATTTTTTATGTAAACAATTTATTGCCGTTATTCTAACTTTCCACGCAAATATATTATGTATCCATAATTTGATTATTTATATAGTTTTAGGAAAACATTCTATTTTTTAATATTCCGAAAAAAATTGTACATTGCATATAATATTAACTGAAGTTTTATCTGCTTCTCTCTTTTTTACATTCTAGAATAAAACTATACTAGTCTGTTGTGGCTCTATAGAACAATAATTTACGGAGGGAGCGTGAAACAACACAGAGCAAATCCAGTGAGCGCAGTTTGGACTTTGGGGATGGCAAAAAACGTTCCGAATATAGGAACTGCGCGAGCGAGACAGATTCCGCGCGCGGCCATATGAACAGCTATTTATTTTGCTGGCTCCGACTGAACCACGCTCGGCTGAGCCGGGAAAGGGTTAGACTGGCTGCTGCCGCAGTTGGGAATCGGAGAGGCAAATGTGGGTCTAAAGTCACGGCCGACCTCGTCAATGCGACCAGGTTGCAAGCTCGTTTGTCTGTAACAGATTAGTCGTGCGGCGATCGACGGTGCGACTTTTTAATCGAGTCGACCCCGCAGCTAACTCGGACAAGACGAGTGAGTGTCACTCGCTTTTTTACCTTTGTAAAGGCTCGTGAAAATCCGTTTGATGACCACTTAAAAGTACAGAGTGGTAAAGAGAGTCATTTTTAGTTTTCAACAAAACTTTGACAGGAAAATTTTTAATTGAAATTTGAAGATTTTTTCATTGCAAAACATTTTTTTCTTAATTTTTAGTCAATTTATTGTGTTTAATTTGCCTATTTGGTTCTAAAATTTGCTGAATACGTAAATAAAAATAATTACAATATGTAGTATGAAAATCAGCTCCCATAACGAGGTTTTTGTGTGAGGATTTAATCCAACTATTATACTCGGGAACAAATTTCACACCTGGTGCACTCTGGTTTTGGCCACTGCCGTAAGTTTTGCCAGCCCAAAACTGTTTTGCGGCCGCCGATTCCGGAGAATCCCGGAGCGAAATTGCTCGCTTCTCTTTTGAAGCTGCCAAACCGCAAACTACCTCATCAGGCGGCGTCGCTTCCCTATTGTTGCCTCGCGAGACGCAGAATGCTCGGAATTCAACCTTCACACTAGTTAGGCTGCACACAAAAAACGACGCTTGCACTGATTAATATCTACATTGCAAAGCAAGAGAATGATCGATTTTTTGCGAGCTACTGTTTTTCAACAGCGGCCATGAAAATTAGGACACACAAGAGCTGCCAGAACAAGAGAACCAGAAGGAGTTAAACAAATATTTTAATTTTACTGATTCTGTTCCTTGCTCATGAAATATGGTTGCAGACTATAACCGTTGTTTAGCCGTTTGTTTTTTAATAGAAAAGAATTTAATTATCAACATGAAGGACGTGTCCTTTTTATTTCTCCTCATGTTTCATATATTATGTAATTTATAATAGATGTAGATAATTATTATTGAGCTAATTTTTAAATATTATTTATTATATCACACCACAAATAAGATAATGTAACCAGAAGATAGCATCAAATTTGTTTCCTCAACGCAAGCATCACAATGAAATGTGATGTACATTTTTTATTTATATTAATTTAATAATTTTATTCTTATCTTCTTTTTTCTGTATATTTTGTATCATTATTATTTATTGTTGAAGAAAAAAAACGCTTTTTAAGAAATAATAAAAAATTATAAAAAATAAATAAACAAATTAAATTAAAACATATGGTTTTTTTTAAATATCTTTAACTATTGTATAAATGTTTTATTTTTATAATTAACTACTAATAATAGTTAATTAAAATTCCAACTATGTTAATAGTGAAAAATTAAAGGGACATACGCCACCCGTGGCCCTACACAAAAAGCAAATCGCAAGTCAAGGAGATATGATATAAATGCATTATTTATTATTTACCAGAGCGAACAGGCTGTTTATTTGGCGGTATAATGATGAAGCTGCAGAGATAGCGCCTCTCGATAAGCCCTCGCGGGAATAAAAGAGCACCTCTGTGTAACTATATGTATTGGAAACTACATCAGCAGCACGGACTCTCGGCAACAACAAAAAGCACGGCGGCAGCCAGCAGCGTACGTAACATTTGGTGGTGTGGCGCAAAAGTATCGACGTGGTCGGCAATGCAGGAAGCTTGTCGTGAATTTATTCGGAAAAAATCTATTTCCAATAAATGGTCGTGTGGGCAGCCAGCCGAGGGCAACGTTTTGGTGCATTTGGAGGCCGCCTGTGTCAGCCATGACGATGCATTTTACTTTTTAGAAAATCGGAAATAATTCGTATTTTTTTTTTTTTTTTATAAAAATAGAACGAATCAAGTAAAAATTCATTTCTGGAAGTTTTTAAATCACGCACTTTCCTGATAATCTCTGTGAGAAAAACATCCTTTATCAAAAAATTTATCATATTGGCCTTGTAAGAATTGAACGAATTTCACTCTCTTTAAGCATGAAATGAATGAACTTCCTTCTCAGACTGTTGCACCGAAAAAGATAGAAAGCGCCTCTTAAAAAATGTAAAAAAAATTATGGACCTTGATCGATCTGAAATGGATCCGTCCAAAATAATTTCTTGTGTCATTCATCCTTGGCGTTCCATCAGCGAAAGGAAGATATTGGGGAAGCACTCACGCGCCCATTAATTTGATCGGCAGCGACGTCGATTATTAAAGCCGACGTTCGTCTCACATTTGGGCTCGTTTTCGCTCAAAATTTGAGCCACAATGCGTGTGAATGTCACCCGAGCCTGTGTCG